TATATAGAGAGAGAGAGAGAACTAGATGTTGAATATTTTAGAGTTACTATATTAAGCAGTGCTCACATTTAGTTGGGCAAGAGAAGAAGAGCTCAAGACTTCTCTGGCTTTTCTGCCACGTCTCTCTCTCCGTCTTAGAGATAGGAATGGTAACACTTCCCTTTTAAAACTCTTCTCTTGCTTCCAAATACATTGAGAGGTCTTCTTTTTTTTTTTTTTTGCTGACTTTCAGTGTTATTTTTGAACACTTAATCTTTAAAAGATGCTAAATCACAGTCTAAATATCAAAGGTTCAAAGTCCGTTGAGGGAAATCTGATATGAGGCAGATGTTGTTCATCAGGAAGTCACTTGGAGGTGCTCTAGATTCTTAATATCAAGAAGGGCTATTAAATTCTGCACATATACAAAGTGCCTTAAGGATTGAGACAGACATGTATAGGAATCAGGGAATGTAGACACTTGAAAATGTGTGGAACGGACAGTTGGGTTTAAGGTGAAGGGAAATAATCTTAATGGTCAGATTCAGTGTCATTTCTGGATTTATTTACTGCTTATAAATGTTGTACATGCTTGCATCTCAGCTTGTCACTTGTATCCACTGTCATTGTGAATGATGGACGTGTAAGCTACCATTCAAATGTTTGAGATTGGTAAGATTTTTTGAACAAAGTCTATAATGTTCACCAAGACTGCTTTTATATGCTCAAAAATACAGTGAAATATTAATATAGTGTATTAGTACAATTTAAAAAAAAGTTTTCTATTTTAATGTATTTTAAATGTAATTTATTCCAGTAATGGCAAATCTGAAATTTCAGCAGCCATTACTCCAGTCTTCAGTGTCACATGATCCTCCAGAAGTCATTCTAATATGCTAATTTGCTGTTCAAGAAACATTTCTAATTATTTTTAATGTTGAAAACAAGTCATGTTGCTTCCATGATACATTTAATGCATCATTGCTGAATAAAAGTATTAATTTCTTCCCCCCAAAAAAACCTTACTGACCCCAGGAACTGTGTGTATTTGTGTGTTTTCTGCAGAGTGAAAGATCAGACTCATCTCAGTGTTGCAGTTTACAAACACTTGCAGTCACCACCGTCATCAATATGTAGGTTCGGGGGAATGAGTAAATCAGAAGTGGAGTTAAATGCCACGCATAAGGCACTTAACTGACCGAGAAAAAAACTCCTAATAGTTTCCAGATGAGCCTCTGGTGTTAATCTCAGACAGTAGCAGCCACCTTTTTCATTTTAGCCGCAAACTCTGATCAGACATGGTAATAACTGTTTATATAAGTGTATGTGTGTGTGTGTGTGTCAGTGAATGAGAGAGAGGAAAGTCATTAGTTTCTTTGCGCATCTGGTGACCTATTGTTGTGTGTGCGCGGACATGGTAATAACTGTTCATATAATTGTGTGTGTGTCAGTGAATGAGAGAGAGGAAGGTCATTAGTTTCTTTGTGCATCTGGTGACCTATTGTGTGTGCGTTTTGTGTAGGGAAGGGGGCTTGACATTGAGTCAGTGTTATAGGGAAGTCCTGGGGCTTCCAGAGCTAAATTTCCAATTAGAGCCTCATTTACACCTGCTAATCTGTGTGTGTGTGTGTGTGTGTGTGTGTGTGTTTGTGAATCACTCTTGGCCACAGTCATAAGTTAGCTTGAAAACTTTAAAGAGGGTGTTTGTTGGTTTCAGGGCATAAAGGCTCGAGTGCTGGAGACATTTGTCATGCTCTTTCTGCTGGGTCTCCTCATCCTGGGCATTGTATGGGTGGCGTCCGCTCTCATTGACAATGATGCCGCCAGCATGGAATCCCTCTACGGTATGTCTCTTAACCCTCCTCCTGCAGTTGTGGATGCATGCATGTGATATAATCAGTTATGTATTGATCTGTGGTTTACTGTGCCTGTCACGTTCTCTTGTTCTAGATTTATGGGAGTTTTATCTGCCATACCTCTATTCCTGCATCTCTCTGATGGGAGGCCTGTTGCTGCTTAGTAAGTTTATATGAAACAGTGCTGTCAGTGCACAATCGCTTTTGTATTTAGCCCTTAGTGGACACTGTAACTTCCAGTGCAGTGAAGAGTATGAAAATTGTGAGGAAAATTAAGCACAGTCTTATGAAGACCTTGAAGTTGGACCGTTTTTAAAGAAATAAAGTCATGTCTGTATTTGGAGAGCAAGTGTTACTACAATTTGCTGTTTTGAGATGAACCTTCTCTACAGCTGGTTGAGCAGCAGCCTTTTAGGGCTTTAGGACTGGGTGATATTTTGAAAATGTATGGTATATTCACAATAATTTTACTGGCAATATAAAATGAAGCAAAACTGAATGAGGCGATTGATTTTAAGGTGGCCATGTGGAATTTTAATGTTTGAATAAAAATGCAAATGCAATTATTCCTCTGTATTGTTGTATTGGTGCATACAATTAAATCGATTCATTCCTTCTTTTGTTCATTTAGTGAAAAACAGTGTGGAAAACATAACTAGATCTTTTGAATACTTTCATGAATCTCATTGGCAGCAGTAGCTGTTTTGTTGAAATGATTCCTATAATTAAAATGGCTTAAAATATATTTTCCAGAGCAAATTGATGCGTGTCAAAGTGGCATACACATTAAAACACTAAAATATTAATAAATAATATCAACCACCCCTGCTGTCCCTCACAATGCCTTTTTACTTGTTTCAGCCACTGCTACTGAACAGAAGTTAAATAAATTTGAACTAGTTCAATGGTTGCATTCCTACTCTTGCTTTAGAAAAGCATAAATGAGCATGTGTGTGTTTAAAACAGCTTCTTGTCTCATCTCATCAGTGTGTACTCCAGTAGGACTGTCACGCATGTTCACAGTGATGGGCCAGTTACTAGTTAAACCAACAGTAAGTACTATTACACTGTATGTGTGTGTGTGTATGAATTTGGTAAAGATCCACCCTATCATTCTCCCTCACACCCTTTGCCTCTCTTTCCCTGTCTGTATAGATTTTAGAGGATCTCGATGAGCAGATTTATTGTATACAGCTGCAGGAAGAGGCCTTGGAGCGTAGACTCAATGGTGAGTGTTTTTGTTTTTTGCACGATGGGCAAATGCAAGGTTTATTGCCTGTTTGTATTATTTTCTGTATTACCTGAATGACAGCGGATTATTTGCATCTGTAACCTCTAGCATTTATTCTGCTACAAATCTGCCAGTGTTTTGGTGATGTTTTAAGAAATGCAAAGTATCATTTTAATTGGGTGCTTTCTTACATTTTTGACAAAGCATGAATTCATCACAGTTATAAATAGTGGTGTTTTTGGTTTATTTTTAGTTAAAAAAAGAGAAATTTGTTCCAATAGAATTATGTCCCCTGTTGAACCACCCTCTCATGTTTTTCTCACTTTCTTTAACTACCTCCCTTACCCCTCCTGTATCTGAGAAATCATACCCATGTGCTCCAGTGCTTCCTATACATTTTGTAGTTAAGTAACTGGTGAAACATCATTAAAAATATACTTTAAAGTTTTCTCATACTCCTACATCTTCTTTCAGCTGACTTCTATTCCCATACACAAACATCCACACAAATGCAGGAAGTGTTGATGTTTAAAGCCAAACTAGACTTTTGCTTCAACTCAAGCACACAACAGAGTGTACAGATGCCAGTCAACATGGAACATGTGCTTTTCTATTGAATTCACGGAGGTAAGCTAGATCTTAACTGATAGTAGCCAGTTGCTCAAATCCCATGGATGAATTTCAATAGCCTCTCATTTGGTTGTTTGGTTCTGTAGTGTTGGCACCAAAGGCGGATTTGCTTTGAACACCTGATAAAATAATTGTAATCTGTTTTAACGATTTTCGCTTTTTTATAATTGCCGTTTGATGTGAACCGCATTGGCAGTCACTGTGATCGGGTGACAAAAGGCCACTAGGGATGTGGAATGTCTCTGCGTTATAGGAAGGTCTTGCTCAGGCATTAAGGAGAGAACGAATTTACCTTATCAGGAATTTAAGGAATTTTCGTTCTTTTCTTCTTTCACCCCATAAATGCAAAACCTGAGGTGAAGTTGGGGGGAAAAGAGTTCAAGAGGAAACTGTCTACTTTGCTTTACTCTCTTATCTGTGTTCTATCTAATAGCAATTATCCATCTGACTGTAACTTCATTTAGATCCTACATGCCTGCACACGCTCTATTGCAGACCTTTGATGTGGGCTAATAAGTGTGTTAGTTATTACATTAATGCAGTGATCTGCATCTCTACTTCGTCTCATGTCAGCTTTACTGTCCTGACGTTGAGGCCATTAATACAGGTTAAAGTAATCTCTCTTTTTTTTGAAATATGAAGTATCTGAATGCATACATGTAGTTGTATTTATTTTGCTATATGTGAATGTGCGCATAAGAGCACTTTTTTATGCATTGCTAGGGAGTCTTGCAACTGTGTGTTTAGGTGCATTTGTCTGAGTGTGTGCTTTCATACCAGTCTGGGTGCAGGCATTTGTTTGTCCTCTGTCTTGGCTCTTGCTATGCTTTTCTCTGTTGCCCAGATGCGCAGTGGCAGGGTGACCTTGCAAAAACTCTCCTCGGTACCGGATGGCTCTCTGCTTTGCATAATTACCACTGACGTAATGCAGAACCGACTGAAGTTTCTTTAGAAAACAATGACATCATCTCCTCTCCTTCTGCCAGCATCCCTCGCTACTGAGCATCACCTTTATCACCTTAATTGAAGGGCTGTATGCAAGAGTTTTCTAATCTTCCTGAAATGGGGACAGCAGCAGTTCTGAAATTATTGACTGATGCTGATTTAAATGAACTGTTGGATTTATTAGTGTTTGTTCCCCACCATTGCCTATGTCATCAAGATTATGTCATATGTTTGTCATCAGGAATTAGGTTTTTAAAGGAATTTGGGTAGTTATTTATTGATAATTGTATGAATGCACTGTACAAACAAAATATCTGCAAATATGTAAACATGATAAAGTGCAGTACCTAATTAATAATAATTTTTCTTTAATATCAGTACCTTTCAAGCTTCTGAAAGGTTAAACTCACTATGAAACACAAATACTTGGTTTAATCCATCAGTTGTTGATTGGATTATGAGATGTGGACATTGCACTCAAACATCAATGCAAGCCTGCAGTCGATTATGGAGGGGCAGGGTTTAAGCAGACTAAATGATCTGAGTCTGGCATATGACATTTTTGTTAAATTGTGTGTGTGTGTGTGTTCACTACTCACTGCTGTGTGTGCACTTGGATGGGTGAAATGCAGAGCACAAATTCTGAGTATGGGTCACCATACTTGGCTACACATCACATCACTATCACATCACTATAAAAGGTAAAATGTTTTATTTTTTTTATTTTTTTTATGAAACATAGATAGATGAGTACATCATGCATTTAGGAATTAGATGGTGAATTTTCATTTCATGCCAAATTTAAAGTGTGAAAACATTGGTATTAATAATCACAGGAAATCAAAGGGTATTCCATACAATGCTTTTGACAAAAAGATCCAGATCCAATCATATGTCTTAACTGTTGTTCTTTCTCTCACTTTTAACTCCCCTCTTGTTAGCCCCTCAGGGCAGCCTTGAGTCATGTTTGGCAGAACAATCCAGTCCTGATCAGCTAATAGTGACATTTCCTATCATTGTTCTCACAATTTTGGTTGGAGGGTACAGATTTTCCCTAAAAATCACTGGTATGGACAAGTACACGATCAGGAACACACCTGCTGTGTTTTTTTCTTTTAATAGATTTCTTTATGAACCTGAACCTCTACCAGACAGGGCGTGTACAATCATCATAACAATAATCACATTTTGATCGAAGTGATTGACTCCTCAGCCTCATGTCGGTGAAAAGATGAAAGATTGTGTTTTTATTGCATGCCAGTAACGGTGTAACACTGAACTAATTGCTGCTGATCTGCCAGTGTGTGTCCCCCGAGGCTGTGCAAACCAATCCTCTGCTTTGAGGAGCAAACGAGCCACTGAAACTGGGGAAAAAAAACAGAATGAAACTGATAAATAAGAGCTAAATGAGACAGAAGTCTGTGGTTTTCCTGGAGAACCCCTCTCTGGTTTTGCCCTCTCACTCTCACCTCCTGACACACACACACTCAGTGTTCAGAAGAAAGTTCAGTCCCCTCTTCCATCAGAACCAGTTGCAGCATGCACATGTCTAGCCTAGACTCTGCAGTTAGAGTATACAACTACTAGTGTTGGGGGTAATGCGTTCCCAAAGTATACTTCAGTTCTGACGCAAACAGCCGAATGCTTAGCATTGTCCATTTGATCCACACTCTAAATGCCTACTGCGCTGTTGACAAAATTTACATCGCACACAGACTTTTCAATTAAATTACTTTTTCAATGAACTCGTATAACTTTTTTGTTTGTTTGTTTGTTTTGTTTTTTTAACCATAACATTTGAATTTCAAAAATGCAACAAGCATTATTTTGCTTTTAAAAATATTACTCGCTAATACTTCCAGAAGCCTCTACTTTATCTCTCTGTCTTGAGACTCCATTCTGATACTGTCAAGTTTCTTATGGAGAAAAAAAAAACACAAGCTTTTAGGACTTGGACCAGCATATCAGACATGCACCTGTCAAAGTTGTTCATATTTTTGCTCTCAGAGTATGAGGAACAATTATAAGTCATCATAAAATAAACGACAAATGACCATTATAACAGTACACTTATGTTCATTATAAGCTATTTTTGACTAAGGAAAAACCTTTAGAGGCAAAACTTACCAAAACAAATAAACATGTTAATGATTTAATGTAATTAATCCTTAATTACATCATTCATTTTTAATTTATTTTGATAGTTTTTTTTTAAATAATATATTATGATCATTTGAATTTTTTAAAGGACTAATGCAATAGTTTATTTTTCAAAGCATTGTTTACCAGCGCTGTTAACCACATTTGAGATTGCAGATGTATGGTGCTCATGAGATTTTCTTAATTGTTGCAGATGTTGAAAGTGGCAGAATTAGCAAAGCAAAATAGAAGGTTTAATAGAAATGTTCCAATATACAATATCGCTGAACTGTGGTGATAAACTTCCTGCTGGGCATTGAGCTCACTCTCACTTCTTATGCATTCCGATATTTAACTGCTACCTCCACACTGTAAAAGCTGTTTTTTACTTTCAGTAAATGAATGTATTTTCTTGACAAATGGTGTGATTGTATTAAGTAGGTACTTGAGTAACGGTAAAGATAACAACGTTCTAACCACTGATTTATGTTCACTTCCCTAATGTTTCCTAGTGGTTTTATCTTTTTACAGAAGCTCTTAATAAGCCAAAGTAAACAGAATGATAGTATCTTTCTCTAAAGCTCCTCCTGTCTGTGTCTGTCTCTCAGGTACGATGTCAAACTCTTATTTCCATGGAAACTCTCAGCACCATCTCTACAAAGAGCTGGACAACATTCGCAATCAGAGGAACAAACTCGGTAAGAGATGTTTTTAACAACGTTTAATTCAACTAATTTAAACTGATTCTGAACTGTCAGTTTCAAATATGTGTAGGCTGCAGTATCCACTCCTCATAATATTGTTGAAATGCAAAGTGTGTGCATATTTGAATGTGAACAGTCATTTGGAGTGAAGCCAAATAGGGTATGGCTGTATCAGTTTCGACGTCAGCCTGTGTTTTGGGTTATTATATAAATGATTCCAGAGAGACGAGCAGTTGGAAGGAGAGAAGGCCACAAAGGCACTTAGGATATTGGCATGTGATGCAAACTTTATTGTGGCTGTCTCTCCCAAGTGCGGTCATTAATTTAGAGGCAGCATGGTGCATATGTGGGGAACCCTGCCAAGCTCAGAGCCAGAGCAGAATCAGAGCGAGAGATGTTGGGAAGGAGAGGGTAGCACAGGAGTGACAGACACTGGGATTGAGATGAGTGTAGCAGGAGAAGCCCCAATAGTCACTGTTCTGAACTATATACTGAAACCTCTGAACTATGCTTACATAGATGTGGATTTACTTGAATTTACCCAGTGATAACTGATAGCTGTTATTTCAACACGCTAATGAAATGCAAAGCAATGAATTATCATAAAAGCTGCAGTTAGTTCTTATACACTATTTTGAAATCTAGATTTTGTAGATGTTTTTAAAAGAAACCCTTTTTGCTCATCAGGGCTGCATTTATTTGATCAAAAATACAGTAAAATTGTGAAATAATTGAAAATAAAATGATTTTTTTTCTATTTTAATATATTTTAAAATGTCATTTATTCCTGTGATGGCAAAGCTGAATTTTCAGCAACCATTATTCCAGTCTTCAGTGTCACATGATCCTTCAGAAATATGCTTCTAATATTTGCTGCTCAAGAAACATTTCTTCTTATTATTATTATCAATGTTAAAAACAGTTGTGCTGCTTAATTTTTTTGTGGAAACTGCATGGAAGCTTTTTTTTTTTTTTTTTCACAAATCTCACTTTTTTCCACATCACTCTTGATCAATATAATGCTTCACTTCAAACTAAAACTATCAGTTTCTATCCAAATGATTACTGACCCTAAACTTTTAAACACAAATATATGTGTGAGACTTCACAATAAGTTTAATTTGTTAACATTAGTTAATGCACTTCATACACTGACAATGGACAATACTTTTACAGCATTTATTAATTTAGGTAAATGTTCATTTATACATAGACTACTACATTTTAATATTTGAAGCTAATTTTATTTGATGTAATAATAAATTTAAACTTGTTCATTGCTTGTTCATGAAACTTGTAAAATGTTACAGTGATGTAAATTTTGTTGTTATTTTATAGCTTTGCTAGATGAAAGATAATCTTTTGAAAATTCTCCTGTATTAAATAGATTTTTCATCTTACTAGTTACTCTTTTTCTTGGTGTGAAATCAGACACTAAGAGGAATGGACTAATTAAAGGGATTGGGTGTCATTTGCTCAAAGTTAGTTCACTGTAAACATATGTACTGTCAGTCAGAAATATGTGTACTAGAATCGCTTCTCTCACCCTCTGTCCTAGAAAGGAGAAAGAAGGCCTCAGCCTGGGAAAAGAACCTCCTTTACCCCATAGTGATGCTGATCCTGCTTGCTGGAACGGTACACGTTTATTTAGACTTTGCAGGGTTATCATAATGAACCACAAAGCATGTGACTTGATGCAGTTTATTTAATAAGTTGATTTGATGTTTCTTTCTACTGTTTATAATGCTTATGTTTGCTTTAATCTGTGCTGCTTGCAGGCGATTTCTGTTCTCCTGGTTGCCCTGAACATTGTGTACTTGCTTGTTGATGAGACGGCTTTGCCAAAGGGTTCAACGGTAAGAAAAATGCAAGTCAACAAACTTGAAAATGTAAACAAATACTCAGCTTTTCCTTCACTTGCTCCCTCTATCTCTACCGCTGAGTCTTGCAAAAATCACGCTTTGCGTCGGGACACACTGAATTCCAGATATGCCCAGGTGTGTGCTGTAGAAGAAAAGGCAGGTCGAGATGTGTATCATGTCGCTGCTGTTTGATGCTCTTTATCAGAGTTGCGCTCCCATTCACTCTGCATGATGTCAATTCAAAGGCACTCACGCACTGTACGTGTGTGAAACTCTGGACACAGCCCTCATTCGTCTTAACTGGGTGTTTTGAATACTTGGCCGAGGCCCTTTCAGTCAAAGCTCTGTAATGAAACCATCATTTAACCTTTGCGCAGTTTTCGACTGTGCGAAGACAGCGTCAATTTTCTCTTTGACAAGGAAATTACAAGCTACGGCTGGTTGAATATGGGTCCAAGTCAGTTTACCACTGATTTGAGCTTGGACAGGTAAATAGTTTAACAGGTCCATGGGAACGGTTACATCATTTCCTGTTTTCTTAAATGTGAACATTGTTTTTGTTCTCGCTCTTTCTTTTCGTCCATACAATGATGGTCTTATCTCACTTTAATTCACCACTCCTACGTGCTGTCCCTGTTTCATACGTTTTTTTTCTTTGTCTTGCCACAACAAAGGAAATTCAACATGTTGAGCTGCTCTATAAGAGTGCCCACTCCCCATTCTAATGATTTTATTAGTGTCGATGTTTGCCTTGGCATGATGCTTGACTGAAAATCCCCCAAATTACACTTGTCACATTGTTCAGAGACGAAGGGCCCTCTTGACAGACTGGTTAATGGTTTATGTGTTTGATGAGCTGGACTGGTGCCATGCTTAAGATCTCATGTAACCACGACAACCCAGCAGCAGTGTCTGAACGTCTGTTTGATGGTTTTTACGTCGGGTTGGGATGTGGTGGGGGGTGGGCCAGCATTCCGCAACATTCTTAACCCTCAATCGGCCCCTGGGGTCAATATGACCCCAATCACATCCGTTATTATGCCACATAATATTATTATGCCTCAATCGGCCCTTGGGGTCAATATGACCCCAATCAACTTTTACTTAGTTTAAAAAAATGGTTCCCTTCATATCAGTGGAATAAGATTTTGTGACTTTTCAACATTTTATATCTATATTCACATTAAAAAAACTGGGCTGGATTCGGTTGTTCTGAAGGTATGTAAAACAAATTTGTACACATCTGTCCCTTGGGGTCAATATGACCCCACATTGAAATGAATGGGAAATGTGAAAAAATGTATATATTTTTTTTTAATTTGTCAAAAAAAAAAAAAAAATCCGACATAAATCTGAAAATTTCCACACAGAAATTAAGGCCTGGTACTAGAGCACAAATGCAATGTATAAAAGACATGCTCACTCACTCACTCTCTCTC